TTAATTATATCAACAAGATTTAATTCCACATATCTGGCAAACAGTGGATGAATGCTATCAAAAGACTCTGTTTATTGGTGTTTCATTAAATGTGAAAATATACTTTTGACTCTTGCTAAATCATTGCTGCATTTCCAGTATCAACATATCGCACGTGGTTATATGTATGCTTAATGCATTCTGTTGTAAAACGATAGGGTATGCTTTCCTTTACTGCCATTAATGCGTATATGTTTATCACCAATTACAATTGCGCGATATTGCCCTTGTGAATTTAACTTTAATGGTAATAGATCACAGTGGTTATCATTATCGTTATATGCATATAAGGAGTCTTGCCTTATTTATCTTAAAGTTTACTCGTCTGTTCGATAATCTAACAAAAAGAATCTAAATAGGCATCCTATAATGAACTTGTACGATAAAAATTTTACGTAATTTTTAACTATTATATGCACCATTACAGTATTATATGACAACACGATTTAGAATCATTGGCTTAACTTTATAGTAATTTTCTGATTCTAAAAAAAAAGCCTTTGTCTTTTTCTTTTGATAGCTATCCCTTTCAGACATTTATAACAAGTTAGCAATGATTTTATTAATTTTAGTTTTAAGAGACAAGTTAAATAATGATTTTATTAAATTTGGTTTTTAAGAGACAAATTGAATAATGGTTTTATTAAATTTGGTTTTCAAGAGACAAGTTGAATAATGATTTTATTAATTTTGGTTTTTAAGAGATCATAATAGATTCCTTTTTTACTTCTACGGAATTACTTACATTTTTCTTTAAGTAATAAAGCATGCTTTTGTTCGGGGAATATTAAAACTATTGTACAATGATAAGAGGAATCACAATTACATAAACACTGGATAATATTGACCTTCTTTCCTACTATAGACATCAACTGTATATTATAAATATTTATGTACTTACAATCTTTATGTCACACGTACTAATTATTAGATCTTCATGTTACGCAATTGTAATCTTTTTACATTATTTTCGTCCAAATTTATTTATTTTAGTACGTATACGTAATAGATTTTTCTTAACTGAAATTAGATTGTTTATCATATTTGATATATTTTTATTGTTGTTGACATTTTTTTTTTATTCTAAATTTTGTTAATCTAAAGTGTTACGTACAGTACATCTTTTCAATGAAATAAACTTTTTTTTTATTAACACAACATGGGATTACTTACAAGCTATTTTATAGTGTAAAATAATAAAATATACCCGAGAATTTTTAATATGTAAGTTTTGTGCATCCAATTAATCAACTTTTTATTTTAAAATTTTATATACGTACAGTATATACTGTACAGTACAAGTTAAACTTTACAAAAACCGAACGTAGCTTTGTTAAATGATCTTATAAAAGGTTTTCAATTATTATTATATATATATTAAAAAAAGAAAGTACAATAATACTCGGTGAATTTTATCCCAAAATTGTACAATAAATTGCGTATATCTTTAATTGATAATTAGAACCTAGTCAACTAAACTTTCTCTTAATTGAATATTGTTAATGTAATATTTCAGCGATTTTATAAAAAAAGTAAAGTTTTATGTATAAAAAAAAAAAGGATCCTATAAGTAAACGCCCAAAAGCCCCAAAATACAGTAAAGCGAAAACGAATATACTCATGATTTATGTATATGATTATATCTAATTTTGATACGAAATAAGAGATTAAACCGTAAATTTTCATATTTATTAAAGATTAAATGCTATTTCTTATTACTATTTGAAGTATTTCTGGTAAAGGTTTCTACATCATATATTATTGAAGGGACCATGTCTCAAGATTGTTAGTGAATTTTTAAAAATTTTTTATTAATAATAAAACCGATCACTTCGTGACTTTTATTCGAAAATTTCAATTTCACTTATAAAAAATTTGAATGTAGATAATGCGGTTTTCAATAATAAACAATGTGTCTGTAGCTAACGTGGTTTTGTTAATTAGTCACCCTAATAAGATACATGTCTTTGACCCATCTCTTTCTTTTATGTATGATAGTTGTGTTTACTATATTTAAGGGTATAGATATTTTATTAGATTATTTTTTAAAAAGTAGTACGTAGCAAAAAACTAGGGTTAGAGTATGTGTACAGTCAACCCTCTCTAAGTGTAACCTCCTAAGCGCATATATCAAATTACATTGTCTTATATTATCCTATCAAAGTAATTTCTAAATGCAATATCTTTTAATTTCACAGTCCCTGACAGGTTGCATTAAAAAGGGTTCACTGTATATGCATTTTGATATTTGATATAAATATATATTATTGAAGATAATACAAGTCGAATTTTAAAATTTCTGTAGAATATCGGATGTTAAAACGAAACTGAGCTTACTGATTTTTGGCACGTATCTCTACTATCAGAAGGATACCAGTTCCGATAACCTACCAGATATTTAATACTTTTAAAAGAAGTATCAAATATCTGATAAGCCCTTCAGAATTGATATTCTTCTTATTGGTAGAGATATACTGTACGCCAAAATCAGTGAGCTATTAGCTTTTTTTGACCTCCGATATTCTGCTGATACTGTATATATCTTACAGAAATCTTGCAGCAATTGCAAATTTCTATTTGTGTAACTATTATACATATTTTGTGTAAGTATAAATTTAAAATTTATTATATATCACAAATGATACTTAAAAAAAAAAAATTATCATGTGTCTCGCTCGCTAAGAAAAAAAAAAAGTTACAGCACCCAGTATTCCCATGTTGTCCCCAACCATAGTACTGACTGGGCCATCAGTGGCTTAACTTCGGAGATCGGACGGGTTCCGGTGCTTTTCACTGTGTATGGCCGTAACTGTTTGGATTTTTAAATATAATTTTTTATATAATAAAAGTTAATCGTAGCGAATGTTAAATTTTTTATCGTAATAGAATGGATATTTTTACATACATAAATACTCCATCTGGTTTAAAAATTAAAGTCTAATAATTATGTTAATATTAAAAAATTATTCATGCTGAAAGGTGAATATATTTTTATACGCACGTATTATACACTTTGGTTAATAATAAATTGCCAAAAATAATTAATAGATTTAATGATAATTTATCATCACTTACCGTTAAAAATATTACAAATATAAATAAAATTTAATGATATTAGCGATATTAAACTCTTTATTATCTTAATCTAATAATAATGTTGAACGATTCTTTATACATAATCAGAAAATAAAAATAAATATATATAGAGATAATAATTTATTAAATTTATCGATCTTTCAAATTTAGCTTTTTATTGGTCATAATAATTCTTTTATTGAAGAATAGACATTAAATAAAATGGCTCAACGAAATTGTAATTAAGTTTAGTAGCTCGAATATTTAATGAATAGATGAATAATTAAAATAATATATTAATTTACTTAACGTATATTTTACACGTATTTATGTAAAAAAATTATAGCACAATAAAATTTATAATAAAGTATTATAATAAACTGACTCGCTTGGTGAAGCCTAGTTTGTAGATGCGCAATCTCTGCGTCTTTTTCGATAATTACCGATCTTAGATTTTCTTTACTGTATATAAAGTATATGTGAGTTACAGTATGTAAAATTAAAATTAAGTTACAACACATAAAATAGTCACGACATAACATAAAATAAAAAATATTTACATCTCAGTTGGCTAGGTGTTCTTCTTAAAATATGTTGCAATGGATAAGGCTGATCACACTACGAGAACTTTGATGCTTAAGTGACCCCCAAAAAAAAGAGAAAAAGATTTCTCTCTATAATATATATATATATAAAATAAAATATATCTGCTATAATCTACCGCAGCATCCTACATGCAAAAAAAGTTCACAGAACCAACCAAGGTGTTGTCAAAATCGCCGAAGAAGTTTTCTGATGCCATTTTGCTTAAAAAAAAAAAATTGTCCGTATATTGATCAACTTTTTGTTTTCTGAAATCCGTCATTGCAAATTAAAATCCATGTGAAATGTTTCCTCATCTAACCCACTCATCATATGAGATTTCCTCTTTTATCTTTTCTAAATCCATGAGAAAAGTATCGTTAAACCATTCTTTTACTTTTGGGGTTAGGTCTATGAGTGGTCCTTTTGTGATCATTTCACATCTGATCGAAATCATATATAGCACAAAGATTATTAAAGTGTAGGTGTGCGTTTTGTTTCAGAAGTTAAGGGCTTAAAAATATGCGAAGAGTGATTTTTTTTTTAGGGCGAGTTATTTTTTTTTGTATAAAAGTGTTTTTTTTTGTAACTGTTATGTGTATGTACAGTACATATAGATGCGTATAGATAGATCTAATTTTTGTAAACATGATGCTTTTTATATAGATTTAATATTTAATTTAACAAGAAAAGGAATATTTGGACAAAAAAAATTTGTATCAGCTATAATCTGGTAAATAAATTATTTGATGCTGTCAAAACAACATACGTCATTTCTGTATTAATCAAAGTGAGACTCTTAGAGTTAAGACTTTGAATCACACGGGATCTTTGCTGGGAAAATCACCGAGATTTTCCGATCGGAAAAACTTAGACCGATTCTTATTCATACATAGTATGTAACCCACCTTTTTACTTTATTGATTCGATTAAATAAACTGTCGAATCAATAAAGTAAAACCCTAAGTTTTCCGAATTAGCCCATACTTTAAATTGATTATCAATTATTGTATACGATTAGACATCATAAAATCATTTTTAGTAGGCTAATAATTGTAACCTTGATTTATTTCAAATTTTGAAATAAAAAAAAAGAACACTTTTATATTAAATACCATATCAATAATAGATATTTTTTATACTAAATATTTAAATTGCATTTATTCACGGCTTAGAAAAAAATAAATATACATGATAAGAGTGCAATCAATAAACAAAAGTTGTAAATATAATAGTCACATAGATATATTATTATATAATCATTATTTGAATATAAATTTAATTACTTCTACTAATAATAAAATTCAAAAGAATTGCATAATAAAAATTACAATAGTTCCAAGGCTTAACAGCATTCCAGCCTTAGGATTCATCATAACAGCATCAGATTTGCGAGCCCTTAATATAAATAATATAGAAATGATTACTTTAACATGTATATTAAAGTATTAAAAAAAAAAAAAAAGAAACTTACGATTGAACACTATTCGTCGGAGCAGAAGGACTCTTAGGAGCTTGTGATTTAGGTAAGTCATTAGATGATGTAGGAGTAAAGGTTACTGAACTCTTTTGACCCACAGATTTTGAATCACCATTTGTCTTTGCTTTATCGTTATTCACTTGATTCACACCTTTATTATCATCACTTTTTTTAGTTGTATCACCTACTTTAGTTGTATCACCAACATTACCACCACCACCAGTATTACCACTTCCAACAGGAGTTCCCTGAGCAACTTGAAATTCACCAGAAAATCTTTCACCGGAACCATCATTTATAGCAAAAACATATGTACCAGGTTGTACATTAACTTTCCATTGAAGTCTACGAAGAGTTAGATCAAGTTGATCATTAATTGTAGTTGATTCACCAGTATTTTTATTTTGGATACGAAGACTACCGAGTAAAGTTGGTGCTGAATCCGTGATATCCCAACTAACTTGAATTCGAGCACCTGTCGCGATTTTACCGATTGGTGTATTAATTGTAACGTCTTTTTTATTGATAGAATTTTTTTTTTAAGTAGACATGACATGTTAGACATTAGAATGAGAATGAGATGATAATTAAACTATGCAGATTTTCTTTTTTTGTAATTACCAGAAGTGACAAAAGCCACGGAAATAAAGAAAATGATCATGAAGCGTACAATGAAACGATCGGATCTATTCATTTTTTTTTTTTTTTAAAAAAAAAGAGAGGTTTTAAAAAAATTTATTTATTAGTTGTTTGATCGAATTAATGGTTATAAAGTTGGTTCAAAAAATGATGATTTATAAGAAAACGAATTCATTATATACTAATTCTTGAAACGAGTTAATCTCTCTTTTATAGTGGCTTGTTTTGGCGTTTTTTTAAAGAGTATAAAAGTTTATCAATTATGACATTACGAAAAAAAGATGTAAAGATTATGCTCAGAGTTTGTGAATAGTAGTAAGTTATCAATCGGGAACTGTTATGAGTATGTGTTATGAATTTAATTAAATTAATAATTATTGATCTAAATCCGAATACTTCAAGGGCTATATAATTAATCTTTGTAAAATGTTTTAAAACAACTGATGTCATAGGTAGTTCATCATCTATCTATCGAGAAGTTTATCTAAATATTTTAGTGATTTTTGTTTATGGGCTAAGGTAATGTAAAAAATTTCTTGCAAAATTTACTATAAAACTCTCCTCTTTATACTTACACATTACTCTTAGTTTACCCTAGGTTTATGTGCGTCTTATGTTTGTTTCTGTATTTAAAAACCATTGAAGAAACTTTTGAGTTCTGTCAGATAACTAAAATTAATCTTTATTATTTATTATTACGCTAATTTGATAACAAAAGATAAAATTTTAACTGTTTCGAAGTGATAACTGTTATAAAATAAGTTTTCATTTTATCGACGAAAGTATAACTTGTGTATAGACCATTTGTATAATTTTTGGTTAATGATGTGTTTTGTCATTATACCTTTTTGTAGATTAGTCGCGGCAGAAAGTTTTGGTAGATTATGTGGTTATCGAAATATTATCGGTAGGTGTTAGGATTGAAGTTTGTTTTTACCAAACTTTTTTTTTAGAACACAAGTGATTTAACTTTTCGTGTATATTATCTCACTATTCAATTAACTTGAAGTTTAAACAGAAAGAAAACTTTTATAACAATATCAAAGTTACTTTCATGACTCGTCTACTCATGTGAATATCGAATAAAAAAGAATTGTATAGAAATTTAAAAATATTTTTTATAAAAAAATAATGTTATTAATTTCAATATGTAAATTATTTATAGTCAACTCTAGAAAAATTTATTAAAATCATATTTAAAAAAAAAAAAATCTGCATTTAGAGAAAGCTTTGGACCCGAAGTTGAACCTACATTTAAATATGACCTGCACTTGGAGAACCTACACTTAGTGAGTGTCGATTGTAATCACATTCGTATTTTTAAATTTTAGAAGAAAATGCTTCTGACGCCTATTAAAAGAATAAATTTGTGACACTCCGTGCTGTGTATTTTCAAATAATTAAGGTTTTAGTTATACTCAACTACAATAAATAAAAATTTTATTTTTCACAAGCTTTTATAAATATACTAAACTATAAATTGATATCAAAAAAGTTAATTATTTTGTTAATTAATAGACGATTATGATTCACCTTTGTAAATGACCATAATTTCACAAACTATAAGTACGTAAGAGCACGTAATACGTAGTAATAATAGTACGGAAGAAAATGAATAATCTCTTTAAGAATAGACTTTTTAGCTTTACATTTAATTACCAATACAGATTTTTAGTATATTTATTTATTTCTGAATGCATACTCACAAAAATTTATTGTAGGCCCGCTACATTCTATATTTTCTTGCACTGTGATTAAATATAAGCAAGAGCAATCGGCACGCTTATAACTTATCGTTTCAATAATTACATAATACGAGTTTCTTTGGCAGATAATCAAAAATTTTAATAGCCATGATGTTCGAATCGACTTATGTAATATAGTTGAACTGTATCATGTTTAGTGGCTTTTTGTGGAAATCTGAGAACATCATTTTTCTAATTTTTTTTTATTAATAAACATATAGAAAAAAAATTGCTTGAAAACATTAAAATTAATTCAGATTTCCAACACTGATACCATCTATATAATATTCTACAAAATACAACGGCTTAAGATATCAAATTTATTATGCGTAGTTATCTGTTTTTATATAGATTTCATACATAAATTCCAATTCTCATGAACGCAATTAATGATTAGATTCATGACTCGAATAACTCGAATAACTCGAATTTGTTATGATGAAGCTCGTGAGTTAAAATATATTATACCCTGGTCACTATATCAAGACCGCAGGGTATAAATTAGTTATACGTACGTACACTGAGTTTTATGTGTTTAAACGGAAATTTCATTTTTCATTTCCGTTTATATCTATGACTCATTCAGTGTACGTATAACTATTACTTTTTACATACAATTGTTTATACATATTAAATAAAATTAGAAAATAAACATTCCCTTTACCAATCGGAACATGAAATATATTTGCCTTCATAAAATAGTAATTTAAAACTCGGATAACTTTAACTCGAATAAAACTCATCAAATTAACTCGTTCAAAAATGAAACGATTTTTTTGGAGTTTAGTTCGTGAATCACGAGTTAACACGAATACAATCACTACATACAATATTGTTTTAATACTTCTCTGAACCGAAACAAATACTCATTGATATTCATTGATATTTATTGTACGTAGTTATTTTCTATAAAAGAATATAATGTAAAACAGTAAAAGATAACTCTAACTTTCCGAACTTGTTAATAATAGAATTCATTTTGGTTGACAATAGATTTTATTAATTATCATTAATTATACTATGTAACTTTTTTTTTTTATAATCTATTTTAAAAAAACAAGCATTAAAGTTACTGTAGTAGATATAAAATTTTTAAAGAAAATATCCAAAGGCTGATCTCGTACGTACAATTATTTTTAGGAGTATCTTTAGTAAACAAAATAAAATTTTAGTTAGTTAACTTTATTAACAGATGATTATGCAATACTGCAATATGCAAACTCCTTTTTCATTTTATCGGAATTTAAAAACAATAGATGTAAACCTTTATAGGACAATAATTTTATATTTTTATTTTTGCATTTTATTGCATAATTATCCTTTCTCAATACAAAAGTGGATTAAAATTTTTTAATTTTGAGTAAGTATTATGTTGTGTAAATTTTTTTCGGAAATATCGGAAATATCCGTGTATAATTAAAAAGATATGCAAGTAGGTTCACACATAGGTTCACACGTAGGTGCATAAGAATCTTTCACTTTTTTATTGTTCCGACAATGATTATGCGTGTAAATCCTCATTTAATAAAGATGAGCGAATATAAATAAGGTGATATGTGCATAAATATTATACGTATAGTTATTGGATGCGAAGCAGCCAATAATAAATAATTATTGGGGATGGATTATATTTATGAATTTGGCTAATTTTACCAGAACTTATCCGTGATGATTGTTTTTTGTAGAACCTTACAAATGTTAACTCGAATTGGATTACTGCGAGTTCTTATAATTATATAGTTTATTGAGATTATTTCGTTAGTTAAAAACCCTTATTAATAATCTCTTTAAAATACTGTAATACTGTAATACTGTAATACTGTAATACTGTAATACTGTAATACTGTAATACTGTAATACTGTAATAC